CATATAAGCAATAACTTTTCTAAGTACACCTTTTACAAAAAAATCATGTGTAATTTCTTTTAATTTTAATTTAAATAACCTTGATACTTTATTAGGTCAATCACTTGCTTGTTGATTTGGCAAGAATTCATTTTTAATTTCTAGCCAATTAGGATTGCAAGTAACAGTTACAAATAAATCAGGTTTTCTATGTTCTCTAACAATTGCCATGTAATCTTGATATAGTTGTTGCATATATCTGGTAAATCCTGTGAATGAAGATAATAAGATTATCTTTTTTTCAATCTTATCTAAGTGAAAATTACTTGGCTATTCCAGATTAATATAAATATTATTATTGTAATTATTTTATAAATTATATTTACTATTAAAATTTATTATAATTATTATTTTTTAGCTATAAGTATAATTATAGAAAGAATTTTTTCAGGTGAAACAGATTTAGTAATACAAAAAAGATGCAGTTTAAAAAGTGAAACAATTTATAAATGCATGTATTTTAAAGAATGGTTAAAATTAAGACTTAATGACATATGTAATCAGATATGAATCAATTTTATAATTAATTTTAGAATATCATAAAATATAGTATATATTTTAGGCTTGTAATAGTCATAGACTCAAATATTTTGTTACTACATTCCTCAATATTATCATTTGCTTCCAAAAGTAAGCTATATAACCTGTATAATATAAAGTTATTATAAATATTGGGTTTGTTCATATTTAGTAAATGTTCCAGAAGCATTTTTCCTCAAAAATAACGATCTGGAAGTATGTCCTTTAAAGATATATTACAGAAGTAACTTTTTTTGAAGAAATTGCTCTGAAAAGTGATATTCTTTAAAAATAATGCTTTGGAAGTATTTATTTTGAAGTAACATTCTAGAAATATTTACTTTGAAAATAATATTTCCGAAGCGAGTTCTTTCAAAATATGCTATGGTAGAAGTATTTTACTTTAAAAATAATACTTTAAAAGTGTGTTCTTTTAAAGATACGTTATATAGAAGCATTTTACTTCAAAAATAATACTTCAGAAGTGAAATTTTTAAAAGAACTCACTACAAAAGTAAAATTTTTAAAAGAATTGATTATGATAGTAAATTTCTTAATAATACTCATTCTAAAAGCAAAACTCTTAATATAATTCATTACAAAAGCAAGTTTTTTAATAAAAATCACTCTAGAAGTGAAACTTTTAAAAGAAATAAATCACTATAAAATTAAATTTCTTAATAGAAATCACTCTGAAAATGACTTCAAAAATATATTTCTTAAAGGAAAATACTCTGAAAGTGATTTCATTCATAAGAAACATTTCAGAAGAATTTTCTCTTCAAGAGAATCATTCAGAGACATTTTATTGAAGGAAGTCATTTTGATGATAATTTTCTTGAAGGAAATCATTTTTCAGAACTTTTCAATCATTCCAAATTTTTTTTTCAGATTTTTATTAATAATGTAAGCCTTACGAGTGGGTTGTATGGCTCGCAGATTACCACATTTTATACTCGAGCTAAGCTGGCTCACAAGCCAAAATAAATCAGCTTAGCTCAAGCTGATGGTTGAGCTAGCTCAAGCTGGCTCATGCGGAGCTTTAGTAAGTAAATTTTTTTTAAAAATTCAAAGAAAAAATAAAATAAATACTTACTTTCTTTCGATTCTAGGATTCCAGAAAGCTTTGGCATTTATAAAAAGAGGTAAGTAAATTTTTAATTTGATTTTTTAAATTCAAAGAAAATGAATACTTATCTTCTTTCGATTCGTAGGATTCCAGTATTCCAGAGGGCTTCGGTCTCTACAAAAAGAGTGAAGTAAAAATTTAATTTATATTTTTTTTTTTTAAATTAAAAAATAAAGAATTACTTACTTTACAATTATAATATAGAAAAGTCTAAAATATTAAAAAAAAAAAAATGAAATCTAAGATATATTACCTCGTATAATCATTTATATTTTTGTAGTCAAAATCGGTTAAAACCAGTCGGTCAAAATCGGTCGGTCAACCGGTCGGTTAGAAGCCTTTGACCGACCGATATCGTCATGACCGGTCATGACCATAACCATTAGCATCAATTGCCATCTCAAAATTGAAACTTGTGGCATGTTCTATTGTCAAGTTTTCTTTGTCACATGAACTTGTATATTAATACATTACAAATAATAATTCATCCGGTAGTTCCTCAAATTCTATTAATTATTTTTCAGATATTTCATTCTCTTCATTTTCTGATTGCGAGATTGTTTTTTTGCGCATTTATTATTTGATCGGCAGTAAGTACCATGTCGCACGAATAGTCATTTTACTATTGATATTAACAGGTAATTCACCTGTAAATGACGCCTGCATATCTACTACAAAAAAAACACTAAATAGATAAATATATTTACTTTAAAACAAACGTATTGTAATATCATACAATTTTTTTGTTACTTTAAATGACAAACTTTAATTTTAAGTTTTGTCTATATAGCAAAAAACACGTTTTTACAACTTTAGTTTGAAATTTAGTTAAATATGTGGTAGATTATAGTAAAAAAAAGTACGATTTTTAATTTTTTAAAAAAAGAGTTTTTTTTCTTAACATTATTTTTTTTTATGTTTTTTTTAACAATATTAAACGTGTTCCAAAATATTGTGATTAGCCACGCGCCACATGCCACATTTCATGACATTTTTTGATGGGTACGCAAGGGAAGTCATACATAATGTACTGCGACTGATATAATTTATTTTCAACGTAATTTTTCAATTTCTTTTACGCATTCTTCACATTAATTTTATATAGAGAAGATTAACCAATCATATTTGTAAATTCATCAGGTGACCATCAGAAATTATAACCAATAAAGAGAATTTTAGTGTATATTCAGAATAACGTTTTTTTTTAAGGTTCAAACAATTACTCATTTCAAGATTATATCAATAATATATTCTATGATTATCTTTCGGGCTAGAACTTACCTAAACATTAATCAATATTAACGCTTTAAAAAAATGTATCAAAGAAGACTAAAACCAATATTGAAAATATAATTGATAATAATTAGATCATTTTCAATGGTTTACTTCCTTTAAAATATCAGTTTGGTAAATATAAAAGTAGGTAGAATATAATAATATATTCTTAATTTTGTTAAATTTTTAACCAGTTATCTTATATGGATCTACAAACTCGCTTTGAATTTTAATTATTGTGCTCCGTAAGGGTCAAGTTGATCGGGTTTGAAGCAAATTCGAACAGAACCCGTCATTTTATAGAACTCGAATTCGACTCGACCTGATTATAGATAAACTTTTGAATTTTAAGGATAATTAATAATATTTATTTATATTCATATAATGGTCACAATCTTAATAGTACACTTGAATAACATTTAAAGTTTAGCCAAAGATTTGTTACATTTGAATCATTAGTCATTTTTTATGACCTAAACTTTTCAAAAAAAGAGATATAAAATAAATAATGCTTTTTAAAAAAAAATTACTTACAAAGTTAAGACAATTAGCTAGATTAACTTAAATTAATAATTTTTTTTAGTTTAATCACATAATGATCTTCCAAATTTAAAATACGTCGAAGTGGCTATAAATGAAGCAGCAAAAGTCTGACTAACAGTTTCGTTAGTGATTTATTAATGTGAAACCATACAAATTAACGGGTCAATATTTTAGCCATTCCATTAATAATAGTTCAAGAGTATCCTTGTCAATTTCCGTCTCAAACGAAGACTATAAAAAAAAGTTGATCCGTGTTTTGTTTTCCATGTCATTTTCACGTTAATTTTACGTAAGCCACGGAATAATAATGGAAATATTCGAACGAAAATTTTTTTATAGAACAAAAATTGAAAAATCATTTCTTGATATTTGGTGCTGAACTTAGAAGTTGTATGGGTCAAACTTGGTGATGATAATCTAAATTGTCATTAAAGTATTTCTATAATACAATTAATGAGCCTTTTTATATAATTTTTGCTTAATATATTTTTAAATCTTGTGGGTAATTAGAAGACCGAAACAAATAAAGTTTTGCAAAATACACAATGAAAAAAGTAACATAAAAAAAAACGCCCACTTAAAATTCTCACAAAATCATAGTTCTTGATTTTTATCGGTCGTTCGGGCTTTTTTTTTAGTTTTCAACATGACGAATTTTTTTAAATAGAAATATTTAAAAAGTTTAGCAATTTTAGCAATTTTGATCTTTTTTTCAGAGTATACGTTTGGAAACATGATTCAATCTTTTGTATTACATAAACATTGATGACAACCTCATTATTTCATCACACATGTCCTTAAGACTGAACCCAAACATCCCAAGCATTCCAAGCATCTCCAACATTCAAAAACATTCGAAATGAGCTTATATACGATTAAGATATGACGACAGATGCATTGATATTTTGGGAAATGAGAGAATTCATTAATTTTTTAAGAAATTGTGTACTTAAAACCTGTTAATGAAAGTTTAGACAAAATCAGACCAAATCCTTTCTTATTTATCTTTAACACAACTTTAATTTCTGGCGATAATGATATCATTAATGGGGAAGTTGGTATTAGTAAACCTGGTGCTTTAATTGGAGAAAAAAAAATACAATTTTGCTTTACGTAGCAACTCCTTTCCTTTTTTTTATATTTGTGTATTGTATTACTTCTTTGTTGTTCTATAAATAAAATTTTATTTATTTTTATTTATTACGGCGTTCAAAATTTAAACAGCGCCATTAATGGAAAATCCTTTACACAACATGAATAAAACTAACGCTTATTAAGAGGTTTCTACAAAAACCATAGAGATGTGATGATATGTATTGTGCGTTTTCCCTTTTTTTCATTTGCATATGCTTCTGTTTTTTTGAGAACTTGTTTATGGAAGTAAAGTATTTATAAATGTTATTTTCAAGATATTAATTCTCTTTATTTCATATTTACTGATAAAAAAAAATAATAATGACAATGTTTTGTTGTTAAAGAAGTATAATAATAGCACATGAATGCAAAATTTCACGCTTTAATGTTATGGTTAAACTTTAATCGTATGACGAGACCTGATATAACAAAAAGACATTTCATTACAATTCGAGAAAAGACCATGAACAAAAGCCATTTGCCAAAAAAGCCTAATGTCAATGTTATGTGGGATTTATTTTTTTAGAAAATGCTTTTTGTCATGCTAAAATCGCGAAATGCGTAATTAATTAATTAGTATTTTTAGAAGTAAATTTTTTTATAAAATACGTATCCAAATTACTTTCTTTTTTTCTTTTTTAAAAAAAAATAAAAGAAAAGAAAAATGAGATTAATTCGTACTTTATTTATCACGGCGACTTTGTTCGCACATAATTTCCTTGGTGTGCTCTCAAATAATGATACTGATTGGCTCAGTTTTGGTGGTCCCGGTATAGATAATAATCGTAATGCCATTGGTGAAACAATAATCTCTCCCGATAATGTTGATTCTTTAACGGTAAATGAAATTTATTTAATCATGTCCTTTTTGAATTTTAAATAGTCTCAATTCAACCTAATTCTATAATATTCTCTCTTGTTAATTGTTCTATTTTTCATTTAGATCAAATTTGTGATTCCAACCGTAGATTCGGTTTCAGCTACTCCCGTAACTTTCAACAATAACGTATATTTCCCTGATTGGGCAGGGTGGATATATTCCGCGAATGCAAGAACAGGAATGATTAATTGGAAATATAAGGTATCAGAGAAATATCTTCCACAACCAGCCGATCCAAAAGCGATAAGTCGGGATACTTTCGCGATTGATCCAACCGAGCAACTTATTATATTTGGTACTCAGAATGCTATTGAAGGAGGTAGCGGGTACGTTATAGCAATTGATCTTAAAGGTGACTTGGTTTGGATCACATTGATTGATGACCACCCATTAGCTGTTATAACACAATCCCCCACAATATATAATGGCGGTGTGTATATTGGAGTTTCCTCAGTCGAAGAAGGAGTTGCCTCTAACAGACCTGGATATGTTTGCTGTACTTTCCAAGGAAGCTTTGCTAAATTAAATTTAACGACCGGTCAAATTCTTTGGAAAACTTTAATGTTACCCTATAATCATGGTAGACCTGATTTGTATTCTGGAATTGCAGTTTGGGGCTCCGCACCTGCTATTGATCCTATTAAAGGGTTGGTTTATATTGGCACCGGTAATAATTATCGGGTAATAATAATCTTTTCCATTTGTGCTCATTTGGCCTTACAAGAATGCCTTTTAATTCCTTGTTTTTCCATCTTTTTGTTTAGGTCCCATCTGACGTCGTAGATTGTGTAACATCCGCAAGAACGACAGAAGATAAGTTCAAATGTCAAGACCCTAAAAATTATATTAATGCGATACTTGCTTTAGACATAAATAATGGTGATGTGATTTGGGCAGTGAGAACTTCACCTTCGGATGATTGGATCGTATCCTGTATACCTGGTTTTATCACACCTAATCCGGGAAGTTGTCCTGAACCTGCTGGACTAGATTATGGTAAATTATATGCGTGTCAAATTTTCTGCATTTTTGCTTGTTTGTACTAACCCTAAGGTTTAATAGATTTTGGTCAAGCACCTTTGCTTGTCAAAGCATGTAACAAGACTAGTTGTCCGCTACTTGCTATTGCAACCGCAAAATCCGGAATTGCCTGGGCGATAAATGCTGCTACGGGTAAAATCTATTGGACAGTCGAGGCTGGACCGGGAGGAACTACTGGTAAATTTTTTTTTTTGATGTAGGATTATAAGGTGTCAATATTTCAAGAAAATTCATTTCATTTAATTTAAAAACTTAACAGGAGGTTCAATGTTCGGCTCTGCAACGTAAGCTTTCCATTTTACTCAAGTACTAAATATAAATGAATTTATTTTGATTGCAACAAACTAACTTGCTTATTTATTATTCAGTGATGGAAAACGATATTTCGTATCAATATCCAATAGTAGTAAAAACCTTTATATGTTTGTAAGACCGTCTCGTTACAGTCCACCCTCAACAAGAGGGGGTGCATTGGTGGCAATCGATATATCAACGGGAGATATATTGTGGCAAACGGCGAATCCTACCGATGCAGAAAGCCAGGCTCCGGTATCTTATGCAAACGGTGTTGTTTGGTACGGTAGTAGGGATAATAGCGGTCATTTATTCGCTTTAAACGCCGAGACCGGTGACATTTTATTTGAATTCGTTACGGGTGGTTCGGTCGCATCTGGTCCAAGCATCGTTGATGGTGTCGTTTATGCTGGTAGTGGTTATACAAGGTTTGGTTATGGAACTCCGAACAATAGAGTATATGCTCTATCACATAACTAGTAATTATTAATTGTATTTTAAATTATTTCATCTTTATGTATGATTTATGCTTGGTTCATTTTTTTTTAAAAAAAAAAAATAAATAAATATGTATATATTCCTCCTATTCGTCAAATTTTTTCGAGATTTCTTTCAAATTGAGGTTTGACGTCTGTAAATCTATAGAAGAAACAAAATAATAATTAAAACAAAAGTAGAAGCTCGGAAAAAGATAACGAATTCGGTAAGCGTTGGTTGTGATGGCAAGATAATAATGTTAATTCAAGGAAGAGGAGGATTATGATATATTCATCCTAATTATAGTATCAATAATTTTGTTATTGGAACGGATGCAGATTTGAATACTTTAGCAGATAACGATAATCGCTAAGCCAATAATCATATATAAAGACGAAGATTTAATAAATTATCTTTCGTAATGCTGTACCACCGGTGCCAAATCAAATTTGATAAAGGGTTGCCCATTTTTTTTTATTCCTTAATGCTTCAGTTTTTTTCGATATTTGGTCGTGCGTGAATTTTTTAAATACAATATGTTAATGGATGATTGGGGCTATTTTAACGTCTTCATATTTTCCATTAAAACTGAACTTAAAATATCATTGGAGATATTATGACTTTTCTCAATTTCAAGTTTTCTTTTCTTTACTAAATCTTACAATTTTGTGTTTGCCGTGTTAAACGTGCCATGTGAAAAGTCCAATCAGTTGATATTACGACTACATATAGATCATTTTGTATATCAATTCGATCTGGCCCACATTATAGAAATTCGTCTTAATTCGGGCCGAAATTATTGTTTCAAATCTTCATTCACTCAAACTTTGCGGCTTAATAACTTTTTATATTGATGTTTAATCGAATATTATATTACCAATATCTTTTAAATACTCTGCAAAAATTTTTATTGAATTTTTAAGTTGGACAATGTTTATTGGATTGTGTCCCCCCACGATAATTGTTAAAAATTTTGGCTTATTATTAAATTGTGTTGCATTAATTTAGAAAGTGATGTTTTTTATGTATTTGAAATTGGATTCCAACTTCAGATGAAAATCGATTTAAGTCACGTTACAGCAGTGATGTGCATTTATAGAGAACATCACTGCATTACACAATAAACTCTCCATAAATGCACCCTCTATAAATGCACACCCTTTATAAATGCACTCTTTTGCTTGGTCCCAAGCTGGGACTTATATGCTAGATGCACATTTTACATATATCTCACTCTGTAAATGCACACTTTGACAAAAAATTTTTATAATAGTTACTTATAAAATTTTTTGCATTACATTAATTTTATATTAATGAAGTATAAATTTATATATATCTATAAATGCACACCCTCTCTAAATACACATTTGTGTCTGGTCCCAAGGGGGTGCATTTATAGAGAGTTGACTGCAGTACAAATTTATAACAAGTAGGATGAGCGATTATCGTAACGTCATATAATTCCTATACAGTATTCCCATATATTCTTCGTCTCACAAGTTTTTCACGATTGAATCATCAAATTTAAAGTTTATGAAATAAGATCTTCAAGTTACGAATAAAGTTCCAAAAGTTAGAAAATATTATCATCATTCTTCCTTTTTTTTTATTTGATAATTATGAATTTATTTACGATCAATTTACGAATAATTATCATTCTTCCTTTTTTTTTTTTTTTTTTTTTTTTTTTGATAAATATGAATTTATTAATTCAAATTGTTAGTTACCCTTGGAATAATTTTTATTATTTTGTCAAAATTATTACGTCGAAAACAACAACTAAATTTAAAAGAGCCACCGTTAGTATCCCATAAATATCCAATAATCGGGCATACATTTGATTATTATAGAAATACGAAAAATTTATTAATAAATGTTGTGATGAATATGGAGAAATATTTTCATTATATGTATTTGGTAAAGTGATAACCTTTGTAGGTAAAGAACTTTATTCAGAAGTTTTCAAAAATCACAAAGCTTTCAATTTTGCAATCGCTTTCAAAGAAAATTTTCCCTTGGAAAGGTTCATGAATCGCCCAGATAATTTTTTTGTCCATTTGCCTAAAATATTATTTACTTATTTATCACAATCATTAAATCATATACCGAAAGACACTTCTTGATGCTATTGATGAAATAATCGGAGAAGGTAAGGTTATACAAAACCCTCCGGATACTTTTCAATTAATCGCCGCAAGACCAATCGCAGCATCTTTAATTGGTGAAGAATTTTATCTTCATTCATCCGTTAGTACACAAGGAATTTTTAAAATAAGTACGTTTTCAAGTTAAAAATGTTAATTTCGAAATTAAAAAGTCTAAATTCTAATCACGCATATAAATTTCTTGAATAGTTTATTGTTTAAATTCTATAATCCCTTCAAATCGCATAAGGAAGTGATTTAAACGAAAGGTTTCATCAGTAGTCGAAAGAAGATTAAGCAGCATGAAAACGAAATCCTATGTTCCTCCTGTTGATATATTACAAAAATTTATCGAACTTTTAAGTCAAGATTATCAAATCGATATTGAAATTTTAACTAATTATATCATTACCGCTATATTTGCTGTGGTGCATTCAACTTCAAATTTCCTCACCAATTGTTTACATTGTAAGTAACTCACATCAAGAGAAAGAAAATATTTCCTTTTTTAACAAAAGATTCATATACTGATGGATTTTACAATGATATTTTATTCTCTTTTTCAGAATATGCAAATTATTCACAATTCCAAAAGGAATTATTTTATTGGAAGAACAAGAACGATTATCACAAAGTAAAAATGGAAACTCCTATTATACCTCTAAAGAAATTGATAATTTGGTTTATCTGGACAGCTTCTTTAAAGAGACCTTAAGATTAACCACAAGTATAGTTCACTTTGAACATATGACGCTTAATTCTCATTTTACCTTTTCAATGGTTATCAAGTTCAAAAGGGTATATGTAAAGTAAAACAAAAGTTGTTTAATTTTTTAACCTTATAAACTTTTAACCAATCAAATTCCTTTTTTTACATAGATCGATTCGTTTTTATTCGATTACAAGAAGTGCATCCTATAAAAATTCATAAAAAGTTCTTTAAAAGTAGCGGATAATCCTCGGTAATTCTGAGAATTAATGTGTTCAAGCTTTACCATCCAAGATAATGCTAAATTATCCAACTTTTTTCTCTTCTTACTAGATTTTTTTTTAAATCCAATGACAGTAGGAAGAAAGTTATCAAAAAAAGGTCGAATAATTTCTAAACCTGTTGCTTGTTTTAACAAATCTAATTGTGCTGGGTTATATGGCACATTTGCTTTGCTATATAAATCAAAAGTCGATTTAATAGAATTATATGTGTATTCTGACAATTCAGACTCGTGTTCAATATCTATAAATATTCTTAATGTAAGAATATCATCAAAACACATTAAAGTCAACTCAGATTTATTACCATAAGTGATTAGAATATACTGATAAACCTTCTGTGACAGTATAAGGGATTTTCTTCTTTTCGTAATATCGGACATCTTCTCTTTCATAAAATAGTCTTTAACAACTTCCTTTACAATTTGTTCATGATAATCAAATTTTGATTTGAGAAAATTTAATAATTCATCTTTCTTTAAGTTTCTTTCGGTTTTAAAGCTTCTTTGAAAAACTTGAAAGCAAGAGAATAATTGGTTCACTCGAAAGGATTGCACGGAATGCATCCCAAAGAATATTTCAAATTTCATCCAATCGGTGTTCGAACAAATGAAGCGCGTCAATAATAACAAAGGAATTTAACCTTTTCTGTCATCAACATCTAGGAAAATCACCTGCAACAAACGTAGTAAAAGCCTTTCTCGCATTTAGTCTTGGTAAACATGCATGTCCAAGCCGATATTTCGCTGCAATTGAAATTAAAACCGCTTTACATTGTTTAATTTTAAAATATAATATTAAAAATCTTGATGGTAAAAAAGTTTATCCACAAATCAAGGGTCCTTTCAGATTTTCTAGTCATGAAAGTTTAGTACTTGAAAAAAAGAAAACAAAGTGTAATTAAAAAGTATTGTATTTCCATTTTCATTTAATTTTATTCTATTATTCTTAACTTAGAAAGAAAATAAAGACGTCGTCATAATATTAATTACTTAGTAGCTAAACTAATAAAAGGAACGCAACATCAGACATTTTACGGAAATTTTTTTTTTTTAAATTTACCTCAATGGCCGTGACTACTGAAATTGAACCATTTTTTTTACCATTTTTGGATTTTTTTTTTTTTAAAAAAAAAAGACGATCTAAATTTGTGAAAAATTTTAATGAAAGTATTATTTTATTTTATTTTATTTTTTTAAAAAATGTTGCGGTATCTTCGGGCAGCAATTACTCGGAGTTACGCAACTAGTAAAGTATAATGAAGAGATTAAAGGAATGAATATCTCTTGAGCAATGCCAAATGTTCTTTATCAATACCCACAATTTTAGGT